GGGTGATAAGGGGGGGAAATGGGGCCTGTGAAGGATTGGTGAGGGGGAAATGGTGGCTCTGGGTTTTGAGCAGCAGCTCAGGGGGGAAATGGTGTCTGTGAGGGGAAAATGAGGGGAAATGGAGCCCATGAGGGGCAGTGAAAGGGAAATGGAGTCCAGGAAGGTGATGAGAGGTGAAAAGGGCGTCAGGAGGGTGAAATGGCCCCGGTGGAGCTGGACAGGAGCTCAGGAGGTAAACGGTGTCCTGAGGTTGAAGAGGAGAAAACTGAGCCCAGTGATGGGGATGGAAATGGGGGCTGTGAGAGGGATGAGAAGAAATGGAGCCCTGAGAAGGGGATTGGGGCAAATGGTGGCCATGGCAGGTTACTGTGGGGGGAATGGCACCTGTGAGAGGAGTCCCCCCAGGTGAGGACACACCTGGAATTCTGGATCAGGTGAGAACAGAACAAAAACATGTGGATAACAGTAACAACAAAAGTGGATTATCTGAAACTTCATATACTGTTCCAAAATTGGTAAATTATTATTTAGCATATTTATATAACATTTAGAAAAAAAAAAAAATATTACTGAGTTGCCAGTTATTGAAGTTGTAGATACTTGCATGACGTGTTACAGTAGAACTAAACAAAATAAACACAGTAAATATTTCAGAAATAAATTGTTATTAATAAGTTGCTGTTTGCTACTAGAAATTTATTTGTGCTTGTGGAATCACGGAATCACTCCAGTTGGAAAAGACCTCGCGGAGCCCCAGATATAAATCTTGTCCCAAAGTTTATTGTCCCAATCACCCAAGAAAGACGATTTTTCCCGAAAATCCACCAATTTGCGACGTCCTTTGCTGCCCCATTTCATCCTCCCGTTCCCATGGCGATGGCGCGTCCCATTCCCCCCCCCCTCCGTCCGGACTTGGTACGCTCCATGCAAATGAGCCCATTCGTGCCACCAATCCCGCGTGCAAACCGCCGGCCTATGGGAAGCGAGGAGGTGGGGTTAACGGGAAGATTGACAGCAGAGCCAGCCAATGGCGACGCGTGGCGCCACAAAGCCGCCGCTGCAAACCGCCGGCCAATGAGAGGCGAAGAGGCGGGGTTAAGGGGAAGATTGACAGCGTCGGGAGCCAATCGCGAGGCTCAGAGCACCGTCCTTCAGCAGCCGCAGCAGCCGCCGCTTTCCCGCCCTCCGGTCGCGGCCCCGGCCCGAGACCCCCGGGACCCCCCAGAACCCCCGGGAYCCTCCCGGGACCYCCCGGCCCCACCATGGGCTTCCTGAAACTCATCGAAATCGAGAACTTCAAATCCTACAAGGGCCGGCAGATCATCGGGCCCTTCCGCCGCTTCACCGCCATCATCGGCCCCAATGGCTCCGGTGGGTCCCGGGGGGCTCTGGGGGGTCAGGGCCGTTCCCGGGATGGTCTGGGGAGGTGACCCCGAATCCTTTACATCCTTCCCGTTCTTCCTCTCGTCGTGCCTGGGAGAATTCCCCGCTTCTCTCACCCCCATTCGCGGGGTTCCCCCCTAAGCATTGGGGTCCCCGTTCGGCCGTCCCCCATTCCCTACATCTCCCCCTCACCCCCCATTCCCTGGAGACCCCCCTCACGCTCCCTCCATGCCCTTGGGTCTCCCCTCAGCTCCTGCCCCCCATTTCCTGGACTCCCCCCTCTTTCTCTGGGGTTCCCCCTCAATTCCCGAGGGTCCCCGCAAACCCCTCATTCCATAGGATCCCCCACCAATTCCCATGGGGCTTCCCTGATTTCCCCCAACCCCCCCATCCCCTACAATCCCCCCAAACATCCCCCCTCACCTCCCGTGTCCCCTCCCCAGGCAAATCCAACCTGATGGACGCCATCAGCTTCGTGCTGGGGGAGAAGACGAGCAACCTGCGGGTGAAAACGCTGCGGGATCTGATCCACGGGGCCCCGGTGGGGAAACCCGCGGCCAGCCGCGCTTTTGTCAGCATGGTGTACTCGGAGGAGGGCGCCGAGGACCGGACCTTCGCCCGCGTTATCGTCGGTGAGCGGGGACAAAGATTTGGGGACAATTCGGGGTCGTTACGGGGTGGGGTGTTTGGGGTAAAAGGGGATTTATGGGGTGTTTTGTGCTGTGTGAGGTTTAGGGGTTCAGAGGGGGAGTTTGGGGGTCACGGGGTCTAGGGGCGTGTGTTTGGGAGGGTTTAGGTGTTTGGGAGATCCCCTCTGACATCCCAAAATCACCCCAAAATTCCCTCCCACTAATCCACTGGAGCAGCTCCTCTAAGGATGAGCTTTAGTGTGAGGTCAGGGAGCGCTTTTTTGGGGTTACATGGTTCAGGGGACACAGTTTAGGGGATTTAGGGTTCGAGGGACATAGTTTAGGGTTTGTGGGAGCCTCTCTGACCCCCAAAAATCCCCCCAAATTCCCCTGGGACAGGCAGCTCCAAGGAGGGGGCCAAGGGCCACATCTTTACCTGCATCAGTGTGCGTGCAAGTGGGACACGTTTTGGGTATCCCAGGGTTTTGGGGGACACATTTTGGGAGGTTTAGGGTTCGGGGAACACAATTTGGGGGGGTTTAGGATTTGGGGAAGCCCCCCTGACCCCCCAAAATGCCTGTTCCAGGCAGCTCCAAGGAGGAACCCAAGGGCTGCACATTTACCTGCATCAGTGTGGGTGCAAGTGGGACACGTTTTGGGTGTCCCAGGGTTTTGGGGGACACATTTTAGGGGGTTTAAGGTTTGGGAGATATATTTTGGGGATGTTTAGGATTTGGTGGAGCCCCCCTGACCCCCTAAAATGCCCGTTGCAGGCAGCTCCTCGGAGTACAAGATCAACAACCGCGTGGTGCAGCTGAGCGAGTACAGTGAGGAGCTGGAGAAGCTGGGAATCCTCATCAAGGCCCGTAACTTCCTCGTCTTCCAGGTGAGGAGGGGGCTCGGGAATGGGCTCTGGGGGGATTTGGGGTGGTTTGAGGAACTTAAGGGGGGGTTTGGGGCAGTTTGTGTAGGTTTTGCGGGATTTTGGGGCGGTTTGGGGAGGTTTAGGGGGGTTTTGGGGCTCCCAGGCATTGGGGACTCCCATGAGGATTTGGGGACCCCCGGTTCCCCCCTTACCACCAGATGCCATGAAGAACCCCAAGGTGCTGATGGAGGAGAACTCCCCCTCCCCATTGTGAAACCCCAGCACCCTGTGGGGATTTAGAGGTGCCTTGGGAGGATTTAGGGATCCCTCACAGGGATTTGGGGATCCCTCACAGGGATTTGGGATTCCTGATAGGGATTTTGACCCCATTATCCCACAGGGAGCAGTGGAATCCATAGCCATGAAGAACCCCAAGGAGCGCACGGCGCTGTTTGAGGAGATCAGCCGCTCCTATGGGGATTTAGGGCACTCTCCATGGGGATTTGGGATATTTCACAGGAATTTGGGATCTTTCACAGGGATTTAGGATCCCTGACAGGGATTTAGGATCTCTCTAACCCCATTATCCCACAGGGAGTGGTGGAATCCATCGCCATGAAGAACCCCAAGGAGCGCACGGCACTGTTTGAGGAGATCAGCCGCTCCC